TCGTCGGCGCCGTCGTTGTGCTCGTCATCCTCATCATCAGCGTCGTCGCCGTCATCATCATCGGTCTACTCCAGTCCCCTCCCCCTCCTCCTCATTTCCGTTCTATCTCTCCCCATCATCCTATCCTCTTGCTCTTCCTCCTCCTCTTTCTTCTCCTCGATGCCGTCTCCCTGAAGTGGATCCCTGTTCATTCACCTCCTCCTCCTCCTCCCTGTCCTCCCCGCTCTCTTCAATCTGTCCCTCCTGGTGAAGGAACACAAGGAGGAACATATTGAAGAGAGCGGAAAGGTTTGTGTTCCTTCCTGAGGCTCCCACCTTCTTAGAAACTCCCCGGCTGCTTAGAAGGCCACCCCCCTCGCCCCTCCCCCCTCTGCTTGCCGCCGAGTGTGATGGCACCACGACGGCGAGAACGACGACGACGACGACGACGACGACGACGACGAGGAGACACCCCAGGCTGCAGAGGAAGAGGGTGGTCAGGGAGTGGGCGTCGGCACCGAGATCAGCTAAGTAGACCTGGGCTGTCCCGACGGAGGAGGACGAGGAGGCCACAGAAACACCCATCCTTTCAAAGCTAACATGTGCACGCTAAGCTCGCACCCTCGGCCCCAACTAACACCACACGCGCAGTTCGAGCGCGCTGAGGTTCCAGCAGCCCCCATCCTCTCAAAGCTAACATGTGCACGCGTGCACGTAACCACCAATGGCAGGAGCATGAACTGGAGAGGTAACAATGGCGCAGACCGAACAGGGCCGGAGTACACACGAGGGCGCACACAGACGTATCGAATGCAACGCCATGCAGACCAATGCGAGTAGTAAAACAAACGCCAAACGTTGCAAATGCAGCGCGATTCACAGCATTATTGTTGAATTGAAATGCAATGCACATGCTACTCAATGCAGGCAGCTCAACGGAACGGATCGGAAGGAAGAAGGGGTGCATATGAAAGTGTCCGACATCGCATGGGGCTCGTTTCGGTGCCTGCTCGGGGGCTCTTGGGGGCCTCCCGGGGGGCTCTTGGGGGCCTTTGGGAGCCTCTAGTGGTTTCTGGGGTTGCTCTTGGGGCCGAGGGCCCGTAAAGTGCGCTCGGATCCCGCGTCTGGGCCCCTTCTTGGAGCCGTGTTGGGACTCTCTTGGGCCGTCTTCGAGGCCTCTTAAGCGGTCCCGGGGCGCTCTTGGGCCGTCTTGGGGCCGTCTTGGTGGCCTCTTGGGCCGTCTTGGGGCGATCTTGGGTGCCTCTTGGCCGTATTGGAGCGCCAGGGAGCCCAAAAGGAGAGAAAGCCAAAAACATCGAAAAACACAATGGAAAATCAACGATTCGAGCCTCTTGGGGCCCTCTTGGAGAGCCTCTTGGAGGCCTCTGGGGGCGTCTTGGAGGCCCCTTGGGCCGTCTTGGGACCATCTTGGGCGTCTTGGAGCGATCTGGGACCGCCTCGGGGCCCTCTTGGACCATCCTGGGGGCCTCCTGGGGCCGTCTTGGAAGCCTCTTGGGTCGTCTGGAGGCTCCTTGGAGGCTCCTTGGAGGCCCCGGGGAGGGGGTATTAAAAAGCGTTCCCCGATGGTTGCGGAGTGGGCGGCCCCGCCGGGGGGGGCCGTCTTGGGGCCGTCTTGGGGGCCTCTTGGGCCGTCTTGGGGCGATCTTGGGTGCCTCTTGGCCGTCTTGGAGCGCCAGGGAGCCCAAAAGGAGAGAAAGCCAAAAACATAGAAAAACACAATGGAAAATCAACGATTCGAGCCTCTTGGGGCCCTCTTGGAGAGCCTCTTGGAGGCCTCTTGGGGCGTCTTGGAGGCCCCTTGGGCCGTCTTGGGACCATCTTGGGCGTCTTGGAGCGATCTGGGACCGCCTCGGGGCCCTCTTGGACCATCCTGGGGGCCTCCTGGGGCCGTCTTGGAAGCCTCTTGGGTCGTCTGGAGGCTCCTTGGAGGCTCCTTGGAGGCCCCGGGGAATTATTGTTGAATTGAAATGCAATGCACATGCTACTCAATGCAGGCAGCTCAACGGAACGGATCGGAAGGAAGAAGGGGTGCATATGAAAGTGTCCGAAATCGCATGGGGCTCGTTTCGGTGCCTGCTCGGGGGCTCTTGGGGGCCTCCCGGGGGGCTCTTGGGGGCCTTTGGGAGCCTCTAGTGGTTTCTGGGGATGCTCTTGGGGCCGAGGGCCCGTAAAGTGCGCTCGGATCCCGCGTCTGGGCCCCTTCTTGGAGCCGTGTTGGGACTCTCTTGGGCCGTCTTCGAGGCCTCTTAAGCGGTCCCGGGGCGCTCTTGGGCCGTCTTGGGGCCGTCTTGGTGGCCTCTTGGGCCGTCTTGGGGCGATCTTGGGTGCCTCTTGGCCGTCTTGGAGCGCCAGGGAGCCCAAAAGGAGAGAAAGCCAAAAACATCGAAAAACACAATGGAAAATCAACGATTCGAGCCTCTTGGGGCCCTCTTGGAGAGCCTCTTGGAGGCCTCTTGGGGCGTCTTGGAGGCCCCTTGGGCCGTCTTGGGACCATCTTGGGCGTCTTGGAGCGATCTGGGACCGCCTCGGGGCCCTCTTGGACCATCCTGGGGGCCTCCTGGGGCCGTCTTGGAAGCCTCTTGGGTCGTCTGGAGGCTCCTTGGAGGCTCCTTGGAGGCCCCGGGGAGGGGGTATTAAAAAGCGTTCCCCGATGGTTGCGGAGTGGGCGGCCCCGCCGGGGGGGGGGGGGGCCTATTTGTTTATATTATATATATATATATATATACACACCTTTATATGCTGTCTCATGCTATCACACGACCACGGTACTAACGCTGCTACCTGTATCTTAGTCACATTCGATGTTTGCACGCGCCGCTCCTCAATTGTCATGCGACTTACAGGTAATTGTCATGCATCAAGTGTACGCATGCGCCCTCCCCAATTTGCATGCAATTGTCATGCGACTTACAGGTCGTCTCACTTCGCCATCAGCCGAAGGGTAATGGCCGCGTGAGTGACCTCCAGTTGGATAAACCCCCCGCGCACATCCTGCGCCACCATGGCCCGATGTCCGCGCCAGGAGCACTGAGGTTCGCCGAGTGCCCTGCGCGGAACCATGGGGTTCTGGCGATGAACTGTGGGCACTAGCGCTTGAATCACAACACATAGAAGGTGCCGAAACAGCGGCCGACACAATTCAAGGTCGACTCGCTTCGAATCCAGGCGAAGCAAGACGACCTCCTCTGGAGGCCCCCGGGGAGGTCTCTGGAGGCTCCGGCGGGCGCGGAAGGACCCCTGGGAAATCCCCTGAAGAGGGGCCGCAGGCGCCCGAACAAAAACCCAGACGGCTCGACGGCCACGACGGCGACGACCACGACCACGACGGCGACGCCGACCACGACGACCACCACAACCACCACGACAACGACGACGACCACCACGACGACTACCGCCACGACGACGACGACACCGACGACGACGACGCCGCCGACCACCACCACGACCACGACGACGACGACGGCGGCGAGCACGACCACGACCAAGACCACGACGACGACGGCGGCGACCACATCCACGACCACGACCCCCACGTCGACGGCGGCGGTGGCGCCGACGAGCGCGCCGCCGAGGCGCCTTCGTCAGCGGGCGCGCGGGGTCCCCGGCGGGATACAGCCCGGCCTCTCCGCGCGCGGGGCGGGCGGACGGGGCCGGAGGCTGCAGGAGGCTCGGGACAGTGAAGCCTGGGGACCGGGGAGGTGACAGCGTGTCGCGCCGGAGCGCAGAGGGCCAAAACAGGCGGAGCGACACTCTGAGCCAAAGTTCCTGACCGTCAGGGGGCATCCAAATCGAAGCCCTTCTTGTTCGATCTCGTGCTCGCCCCTCCCCCCTCCTCCCCCTTCCCCTCCTCCTCATCTTCCTCTCCTCCTCCTCCGCCTCCTCCTCCTCCTCTTCCTCTGCCTCCTCCGCCTCCTCCTCCTCCTGCTGCGGCGCCCCAAATGGAGGAACGACTTCGCACTTAGCTGCCCCGGTACACAGCAGGCAACCCGTAGCGTGTTGGCACGGAGCTTAACCCGTGGATTGAGCGAGCCAAAACGTGGGCCAAAACGTGCGGAACCAACACGCAAAGTGACCAACCTGGACGTTTTGAACACGGCACGTGATGCGTTTCAACACGGGTGCATCAGGGAATCTACAACTTCGCATGAACTCCCTCCGCCCCCTGGCCTTACTGTTGAACAAGCGCTTCCGGAGAAACAGGGCCGAACAAAAATCGTGATTACAACATCTGGACCGCAATAGTTACCTGCCAATGTTCAGGCTGGGGGTAGGGGGAAATTGGCTCCTTCTGCTTCGGGCGGTGCTGTTGCAGCGATCGCTCCTCCAACCGCCGGGGGCTGTCATTCCAAGTGCGACGAAGCCAGGACCGGGACAAAGCCATGACCGGATCAGAACGGGCGGTATAGTCGAGGTACTATCAGAAGGAACGCTAAATAAGGAACGAAGCCCCTTCTTGGCCCCAGAAGCGCCTAGGTTCACGAGGAGTGATGGAGGAGGAGCCATGGAAGAGCTTAAGGAACAGCGAGCCACTTCCGCACCCGAGGCGTTCCTATTTCAGCGTCTTGGCTGTAATGCATCTGGCGCCACGGCCGGCTCCAGCGCGTGGCGCCACGGCTGGCTCTAGCGCGCTCCAGAACACCCTGCGAGCGTTCCAGAACGCGATGGAACGCGCTAGCCTCAGCCTGGGCCTGCCGGGGTTCGGGGGCGCCTCCGCAGCCCACGCTGCGCCGCGGCAAGCCGCGCCCTGCTTTCGGAGAGGACGCGCAACCCCTGCAGATGCCACAGGCCGCGGAAAAACCTTCGCCTTGAATCATGGCGGATGTTCTGCCGCGGCAAAGCCTCCGCCCTCCAATCAAGGCAGACTTCAAATTCTCGAGCAGATCAGACCTGCTCGAGAGCTTGTGGCCTGCGTCCTCCTCGGAAAAATCGATCCCGAGACCCCAACGGGCACGCGTCCTGACCAGACGGCAGCAGAAGTGCGAAGCGCAGCCCGAACACGGCGACGAGGGGCCTGCGGGAGGCCAAGAGCAGGGCGTCCTGAAAAGCACACGCGCGCGCGCCCAGCTGCGTACTCGAACAGGTCCGCGAGGCCAGCCTCATGCCACGAACGTTCGCGCCAGCTGCACTTTCGAAGCCAGCGCTGCCGCGCGTGCGTGTGCGTCTTTCCTCCGCTCGCGCACGGCACGGGGGCCGAGGAGGAGGAGCGGGGAGGAAACGCCGCGCTCCTCCAGCGACTCCGGAGCTGCCGCCCACCAGATGCCGCCCGAACGCAACCTCGGACTCGGCCACACGCCAGCGTGACCCTGGGGTAAGAGTGACCTTTCTGGGGCCGCGGGGGCGCCAACGCACAAGCGTGCAAGACGCTACTGCCGCATCGCGCTCGGCGATCGGGGGACCCCAGTCGACCCGCACCACTCCAGCGACGGGTCACTCTTGCGCGTAGTCGACGGATGCCTCCGTGCAGACGCGAAGGCCGACCGCGCCGCTCGCGGGCCCCAACCTCAGAACAGCCTGAACTGCTTCCTCGCGGTGCCGAAGATCTGGTTCTTCTCCACCTTCAGCACGTTGAAACGCACCGTCTTGCAGAGGGGCCGGCACTGCCCGACGGTCAGGATGTCTCCCTCCTTCACGTCGAAGGCAGGGGAGCAGTGCGCAGCAAGGTTCGTGTGCCGCTTCTCGAAGCGGTTGAACTTCTTAATGTAGTGCAGAAAGTTGCGCCGGATGATGACGGTGCGCTTCATCTTGCAGGAGATGGCCATGCCCTTCAAGATCTTCCCGCGGATACTGACGTTGCCAGTAAAGGGGCACTTCTTGTCGACGAAATTGCCCTCTTTGGCCTCCTTCGGCGTGGAAAAGCCGAGGCCCACGTTGCGCCAGTAGCGCAGCGCCTTCTTGCCCGCCTTCTTGCCCAACAAGCGTTTGGCGCCGATGAAGACGGCGTCCTGCTTCTGGAACGCCTTCTCGGTCTGATCCATCGGGGCGAACTGCACGGGGCGTCACGAGGTCTCAGCACTCCGCAAGCACAGCCAGCCGAACCAATTGGCTGCGGAAGCGGCGCGGAGCAGGAGGAAGAGGTGCCGCATAGGGAGCAGCAGGAGGGAGGAGGTAAGCTTAGAGGACAAAGGGGTGATGTGCGAAGCGCGAGCGGGTAGGGTAGGGGGGTATGGAGGAAGCGAGGGAGCATGGAGGAAGGAGCCAGCCGTGTGGGAGGAGTGGGGAGGTGGGACAGTGGAGGGAAGGGGTGGAAGGAACAAGATCTGGGGCTCGGGAGCAGCACGGGGACGAGCGGGCTTCTGTTGTCCGCCGCGCGGTCCTTTGCCGGGCCGCCCGCCGCGGCGGAGGCGGGAGCGGAACACATGCGCGGGAGCGGTGCAGTTTCGCGCCTGCGCCGCGCAAAGTTCACTCTCGTGCATTGTCTGCTTGGCCCCGTCGGGTCACCAGGCGCTCGGGACCTGCGGCCCGCGGCCCCTGGAGCATGCGGTCGAGGACTCTGGCTTGGCGTGTCGCGGCGGGGGGGCCCTGGCGACACGCTGTGCCTTGCAAGCAGATGGTGTGTCGCTCCGCTCCGCGGGCTGGGAGGGATGCAAAAGGCTCGGGACGTTGACGTTTGGAGACTGGGACGTGGACGGCATGTCGCGCCCTAGCGTGGTGGGCCCAAACTGGCGGAGCGACGCGCTATCCAAGCTCCCGACCGTGCACCCTGGACTTGGCGGCGCGCACAAGGGGGTAGGGGGAGGGGGAGAAGGCTTCTTGCAAGGATGCTGCTCCTTAGAAGGCGCCGGCCTCACATCTACAGACAAGGCCCACGCCTTCTAAAAAGCAGGGGAAGCCCTCCCCCTATGCCCCTCTGCGCGTGGCCGACGGACGCCCACATCCTACACAGTGCAGGTGGCGGGACCGGAATCGTCATCCCGTCGGGCCCTCCAGCCACTCGGCGTGGGGCACCGCCAGATAGGCGTGCGCCTCGGCGCTCCTCCAGGGCCACCGCCCGCCGCCGCCCGCGGCGTCCAGCGCCGCGCGCGGCGCCCGGAGGCGGGCTGCGAGCGGCGGCCGCAGGGCCAGCGGCGCGAAGAGCACGGCCAGGCCGACGCAGAGGGCGCCTGCGACTCTGCTCGGCCACGGCAGGCTCTGAGCGGGGCGGTGCTCGCCTCTGGCGGGCCAGCCCGCGCCGCCGTACTCCTGGAGGGTCTCGATGCAGGCGCTGTCCCTGCTCAGCCGGGCGTGCACCAGCGCGTCGCCGAGGGAGCAGCACCAGCGCAGCTTGCTGAGAGACCACCTGTTCGCCCAGTCCTCGAGGCCGATGTCGCAGTCGAAGAGCGCCGCCGCCTTGCCGGGGCCGGTGCGCGCCCTGGAGGCAGAGGGCCAGCTCGTCCGCACTGCGACCGCGCGCTTGCTGGTCGCCGTGCTGGTCGTGCCCGTACGGGTCGTGGTGGTGCCGGTGCGGGTCGTAGTCGTGGTGCTGCCCGGCCGCGAGGGCAGGCCGATGCTTTCGTCGGCGTCCGCCGCGCCGCACCGCAGGCTCTCGTGGAGGCAGCACCAGTCCTCGAGAACCTCCGACCGATCTGCCGAGGACGTGTCGTTCGTGGGCCTGCACTCCTCCAGCGACACGGGCAGGACCATGTCCATGGCCTCGCGAGGGCAGCCTGGACTCGGGAGGTGCCTGCAGCAGAACTGCCTGCGCGCAGGCGTCATGAAGCTCGCCTCCCTCTGCAAGCCGTGGGCGCAGCTGTCCAGCACCTCCTTGCGGCTCAGGCAGCCGATGCTCCTCTGCTCGCAACATCGCTGCTGGCGCCCTGCCCGCCATCCGGCGCAAGCACCGGTTCCTTCGCTGGCGTCCGCCTCGGCCGAGGTCACGGTGGCTGTCGTGGCGGCGGTCGTTGTTGTTTCCGCCGCACCGCGGCAGGCGTCCGCGGCCGTGCAGCTCGCGCACTCGGGGCAGTGCTTGACGACCAGCGGGTGTGCTGCTGCGCAGGCGCTGACGTTCTCCCGCCCCGAACGGTGGTGCTGCCCAGCCCACCTGGCCCAATCGCCGCACGTAGCCGTGATGCCTGCCCGCTCGCACTCGACTCGGCAACCAGGCGACCCGCTCGAGGCCGAGCCGAGGTGGTGGTGGTCGACCATGGTGCCCGTGGCTGTGCTCGTAGACGCTGCGGTGCTCGCAAGTGTGCTCACGGCGACGGTGGTCGATGAGCAGCCGACGCCGTGGTGCTTGCAGCACCAGTGCGCCTTGTCGCCCGACCACATCTTCTTGGCGGCCGTCCACCTCGCCTCCAACTCCCTGAGCCTGTCCATGCAAGCCTGCAGCGGAATGTCGAGCTCGCTGCTGCGGAGCTCCACCGCGGGAGAAGTCGAGCTCGATACCGCAGAGGTCGTTATCTGCTTCGTTGCGGTCGAAGTCGTCGCTGCCGTCTCGCTGGAGCTGGTCGGGCTCGCCGCCACGGGGCTGGCCGTGGTCGTGCTGGCCAGGCTGGCCGCGCTCGAGCTCCACGGGCTCGTGGCCGTGCTGGTGCTGCGGCCTGCCGGCGGTGGTCCCACGGCACCCAGCCGCTCGCAGGTGCCCGGCCTCGCGTGGCAGCAGCTCCGCCGGGCGCCGAGCGGCCAGGAGTCCGCCCTGCTCCAGAACGAGCAGCAGCCCCTCTGCACCCTCGTGGCGAGCTCGGCGGTGGAGTTCCGGGCCTCCGGGCGGTGCCCCGAGCCGGCGGGGCAAAAGAGCTGCAGGGGGGCGCCCGCGAAGACCAGGTCGACGCCCTTGCCCTTGTGCGGTCCGGTGACGGCAACCTCCACGCGGAATTCTGACGTGTTTCTGAAGAGGAGCGTCACGGCGAAGTCCTGCTCCACCCGCGTCAAGTTCCCGGGATCGTGAAATGCATCAGCGGGCAGCAGCTCGGTGGTGAACCCTCCGGGGTTGACCCAGACGCCCCCGCGGCTGATGCGCCTGAACTTCAGCTGGGAGCCGTCGCTCAAGAAGAAGTCATCGAACCCGTGCAGCTGCAACTGCATCCTCTTGTCCACGATGAAGAACGTCACGAGGAAGTCGTCCGCGACCTCTGGCGCCGCCGAGGCCGACTCGTTGGCGCCCACGAGCCGGAACACCAGGCTGGATCTTGACCTCCTGCCGCACCGGTGGCTGATGCTGCCGACCTGGCTCCCGCGGCCGCCGTTGGTGTTCTCGCTCGCGTTGAAGGGCGTGTAGTCGCCCTCCCTCGCGACGATCACCAGGTCGAGATGCTTCCCCACCGCGGAGCGCGCCGCGTCGCCGTAGCGGATCTCGTGCGGCGCGCCGACGTCCGGGCCGAGGCCTGCCAGGTTGGAGTGCCGGAGCGTGGCCAGGCTCAGCTCGCCGACGGCGTCTGGCAGCAGCGCCGCGGCCCACGCGGCGCCCACGCAAGCCCATCGCCGCATGTGCCCCGCGCAGGGCCCGGGGCCAGCGGGGGTCGGCGGAGGGCCCGCCAGCCAGCCGGGCCGCCTTCGCCAAAATGGCCACGAATAACGGGGATCCGCGGTCTTGGGAGTGTCTCTTTGGCAATATGGGGCGCTCTGGGTCGGCGGAGGGCCCGCCAGCCAGCCGGGCCGCCTTCGCCACAATGGCCACGGATAACGGCGATCCGCGGTCTTGGGGGCGTCTCTTTGGCAACAGGGGCACTCTGGGCACGTCTTCCCACCAGCACCCTGGGTTCCTTCTCGGGGGCTCTGGGGGGGTCCTCGCGTTTATCGTCGGAGGGTGCTTGCGTCTCGCTCCGCCTGGGACAACGGCGAAAGTCTCGTTCCTCCTGGCCCCGCTCCTCCTCCTCCTCCTCCTCCTCCTCCTCCTCCTCCTCCTCCTCCCCTCCTCCTCCTCCTCCTCCTCCTCCTCCTCCTCCCCCTCCTCCTCTCCTCCTCTTCCTCCTCCTCCTCCTCCTCCTCATCCTCATCCTCATCCTCATCCTCATCCTCATCCTCATCCTCCTCCTCCTCTCCTCCTCCTTCTCCTCCTCCTCTTTCTCCTACTCATTCTCCTCATCCTCTCCTCCTCCTCATCATCCTCCTCCTCTTCCTCCTCCTTCTCATCCTCCTCCTCTTTTTCCTCCTCCTCCTCCTCCTCCGTAGCCATCTTGGCTCCAATCCGTAGTGCGCGGCTCAGACGCCAGCAGCGGGCAAGAGGTTCTGGCACAGGGGATCCGCGGCCCCTACCGTTCTCTCGTAGCTGGTACGCCATGGGGCATTGCCCCACCTGCAACCTTCACGATTACTTTCCACACGCTCACTGCTCACGGTGCGCTCATAGTCTCTCTCTCTCTCTCTCTCTCGCTCGCGTCATGCCGCCGAAGAGTAGAGCTGACAGGGAGCGTGTCGAGAAAGCAAAGAGGTTGGTCTTTCGATTCTACACCCATGCCAAGACAGGTGCTCCGTGGCACAATCATTACGACGTGTGTCTTGCTTCTGGTGTGGTGGTGCAAAGGGACGAGTGTACAAGTGCGACCTCGAGCATGCTGCTCCCAGCGTCTGTGCGCCCCCTTCCGTTGGAGGAAGTTCTGAGGGGTCTGTCCTTGCTGCCAAGGACAAGGAGTTCACGGCTCTACGCAAGCAGGTTCAGAAGTTGCAGTCGTCTCGTTCGAAGCCGTCTGACTCTGAGGCACCGCGCTCTGAAGCCCCCGCGATGGACAGGGATTCCACGCAGAAGGAGCTGGAGCCCTGCGAGGGGGTTGTTGAGGCTCTCACATTGGCCGCCAAAGGTCAAAGGTGTGGACCCTAAGACTGCTGATGCTGCTGCCGAGACCTCGGTGCGCCAACTACGGCAAGAGATTCATGCTTCCAAGCCCTTGGGCGCGCAGGCGCACGGCCTCGGCAGCAAGCTCCAGAAATTTGATCAGCAGATCTCTAAACTCAAGGCTTCGGTTGAGGCTGAAGAGACAGCGATTGTCAGTAAGCAGCAGAGCTGAAGCAGCAGCTCGAGGAGAAGGACAAGGCACGCGTCCGGCTCAAGCCGGAGCAGCTGGAGGTCCTTCGCCACTGCACGCCAGCGCAGCAGACTGGAGCTGCAGAGGACGCCGACGCTAGGAGGAGGAGGAGGAGGAGGAGGAGGAGGAGGAGGAGGAGGAGGAGGAGGAGGAGGAGGGGGAGGGGGAGGGGGAGGAGGAGGAGGAAGGATGAGGTGGAGGAGGGGGGGGGGGATGGGCAAGCTCCGTCGATTAGATCCCACCCGGAGTATGTGCAGCCTTGGCCGCAGCAGGTCGGGAAGGCCAGGGCGGCCCAGCAAGCCGCAGGGGCCGGGCAGGCCCAGGCGCAGGCTCGAGCTGCTGCGCCCGCTGATGGCAGCGGCAAGCGGCGGCCAGCCGCCGCCCGAGGAGTGTGCAGTGCCCGATCTTGACATGGATGGCGCACGTTTCCTTATTCGGCGTTTCGACGTTGGGCTGAAGGGGAGGGGGGGGAGGGGGTCTGGCTCCGGACCTCTGCTCAGTGCGACTGTTTGCAACAGTGCGTCCCATGGGGGAGACCCCACCTGCCGGAAACTGGGCCCAAAAACAGCCCAGGTCTACTCCATGGGAGGGGGGGCAGGGAGCGCGAGGGCCCGCACCGATCGGCAAAATGAATCAGAAAACGATCACACGACGCGGATTTGGACGATCTTAACGCGTTTGTTTCTGGCTTCGGGGGCGGTGTACTTGAGGGGGAACAAAAGACCCCTGCATAGGCCAAGCGTTGCATGGAGCCCCTCAAAACGCTGCATGCCAAGGAGGAGCGGCGTACGTGAAGGAGGACTGCTCGTTCTCTTCCTCGTGTGGATGTTGAACTGGATGCTCCGAGTCTTGACGGCTGCTACGTTGAACCATGATTTTGACGCTCTGGCCAGTGGGGAGAGTGCCCCAGATATGGTCGCTTCTGGGACGGTGCCATGATCTACTCTGCCTAGGGAGGGCCCATGTTCTTGGAGATCGTTGATGTCGAGTTGGCCGGGGCTCTATCACCCTGAGAAGGAGGAGACAGCATGCAGGACCGAGCCCGCTGTGACCCCCTGTGTAGCTTCGTCTGCGCAGAAGGGAGGTGAGGGATCTCTATGCGTCGAATCGTTGGAGTGGGTAGGGCCCGCTCCACACCCGTCTTGGTCGATTTATACCTGTGGGACGGCTTCTACGTCTACTCCGCTGGGAGCGGGTCTCTGCAATCCTGCATCGTCGCTCTCGAGCTGGCCATGGCCCTGCCGCCCTGAGAAGGAGGAGACAGCGTCAGGACGAAACCCACTGTGACCCCCGCTTTGCATCGCCTGCGCGGGAGGGAGGGGAGGAACCCCTGTGTGTCGAATCGCTGGAGTGGGCAGGGCCCGATCCACACCCGTCCTCGTCGGTTGGCACCGGTTGTGCGGGTTCCGCCTCTACTGGGTCAGAGGACTCGGGCAGCCCTGAATCTGCCAGCACAGGTGCCTCGGCGGGTGCTACGTGCATGGCCACATCGGCCCTGATAAGTCTGAAAGGAGAGGTCGGGACTGTGAATGTGACGTCTCACCGCTCTTTGTTTGAGTATTTGTCTGTCGTGAAGGAGGCGAAGGTTCTGCTAGTGCAGGAGCACCACCTACTGCCTGAGCGACTTCCACAGGCTCAATCACAAGCGCGAGATCTGGGATCCACGGCATTTGGTGTCCAGCGACACCTGGCACGGTGTCGCAGACGGGTTCAGTGGCAAGAGTTGCTGTTTTGGATCGCACTGGCATTATGAATTCTGCCCCCAATCTTCCCGATAAAGATATCATAGCTGGGTTGCGTGTTCGCTCATATGCACTGGGGAATTCTTGGTGGGTTCACGGCTGGCAGCATTTACTTGGACACTGCGTACTTGTGGGCGCTGGCACAGGCTTCGGCCACACTCAACAGTGAAGGTCATGATTGGATGGTGGGAGGAGGTTCGAAGAACCAGCCTGCTGGTTTGTTTTCTATGCGATGGACGTCAGCCACCGCTGCGATCCCTTTCTACCCCCGCTTGCCCACTTGCAGGCAGGCGAGCCCTGGTACCATCCTCAACCATTTCATTGTATCGTCCAACCTGGCATCCCGAATAGACTCAGAATTGTTCATGGATGAGGGGGGCCCTTTCTACCCACATTGTCTAGTGAATGTGAGAACGATGGCTCAGGATGCCCCAGTGTGGAGGTTGGCGCCTGCCTTGGCTAAGAAGCTGGCTATTAAGGCTCCACCTGGCTGTGCCAGGTATCCATTGGACCAGGACCTAGCTACTCTAGATTTCTTGATAAGCGTGGGGGGTACCCACCAGACGGGGGTCAACCTCGCCTCGTCGTCGCGCCGCGACAGGGGGTCGGAGCACCTTCGGCGCGCGGTAGCTGCCTGCGACAGGGGTCGATGTGGAACTGCCGGCGGGGGGAAAGCCCCCCCGACGCTAACTTAGGAAACTCGGAGTCTGTTCGATTATGCCACTGATGATGTTGGTCTTCCAGCTGGCATGGACATGCTCACGAGAGACAGTGAGCGGAAGCTTGCCACCAAGTATGACCTGGTCAGCCCTTCAAGCCTGGCGATCTGCTGCCCGAGCGGAGGCGCCGAGCTTCGTGTGGCGGCGGCTCCAAGTGGCAGCCTCACCTGAGGCGTACCTACAAGAGGGCGAGAACGGTGGCGTGGAAGACGGCGCTGAGGCGGGTGTTTCACTTTCAGAAGGTGCATGAGAGGCTCCGTACCTTGGTGGGTCGTCTGCAGCTCTCTCTCTCTCACGTTTGGTGCGCCGTCGAGCCTTCCTGCCCGCGAGAGGCCCCCCGCGCGGCGTCGGCGGCAGGCGCGCCACGAGGGCCTCTCGCCTCCGCCACGAGAATCGACGCTGCGTAACAAGTGAAACAGCAGGAAGAATCACGACCAGAGCCCTACAGTCAGCCTCGTTCCACCAATCCCTGTGCTGATGGGCCGGTTTCCCAGCACCTCTACAAGAGGTAGGACGGGGGAGAAGTGAGGAAGGGCAGGTCCTCCCCCTCCTCCCCCTCCCCCTCCTCCTCCTCCTCCTCCTCCTCCTCCTCCTCCTCCTCCTCCTCCTCCTCCTCGTCCTCCTCCCCCTCCTACCACTGGTAGTGGTGGTGGGATATCGGCCCATCATATGCCCATCCCCATCCCGAACACAACGAGTATACCACGATGGGGGCATACCCCTCGAATCCCGAAGGGAACCGCCTAGGCCCCCATCGAGGGGGGGTACAGCGGCCGGCGGGGCCCAGGCCACGCCGCTGGGGCCAGGGGTCGGATCAACGATGCTCGCAAGCGGCCCCATCCTTCATCGGCATCCTTCGAGCCGCACCGATCCGTGAGGGCCCTTGGGGCCCGAGGCTGGCCGCAAACGCCCGCCGCGGAGGACTACTGCCACGCCGGGACCTCGGGGCCTCGCCCCGTCGCCAGCGGGGCCGCCCGCAAAAAGAGAGCGGTGGCCCCGCCTCCGACGGCGCCCCGTCTCCGACGGCGCCCCCTCGCCCGGGGCGCGCTCCCCCACGAGGGGGGAGGGCGCGCGGGCGCGCGGGCCCGCGAGTGGCGCGCGACCGCGCGCGCGACCGCCGTGGGGGGGGGGGGCGGCGCGCCTCGCGGACGGACACGTAGATGCGCCAGGTGCAGACGCACAGCGCGGCCTCCGGGGGGGGGGGGGGAGCCGGGGGGCGGGCGCGCGGCCGCGGTGGCGCGCGGCGGCGAGGGGCGGGCACGGGGCACGAGGGGG